GTCTCTCTGGTAGGTCACCAACCACCCCCCACTCCCCATCCCATCCTGACCCTGTATGAGGAGCCAGGTTGCAACCTTTTAACTTCTTTAACTTTGCTTTCTGATTCGGTTCAAATTGAAGTTTCAGACCGACACACAGCTGGAGACGGCTTCTTCTTGTACTAACCCTGGAATGGAATGTAACAGGTCCCAGAAACATGCTAATCATGAGTCCCAGTATTTTCTTCACCTACTGGTTTTAATTGTATTCAATCCTTTAAGTTATTTGCCTTGATTACTTTTGGATTTTCTTCCCATTTATGTTCCTCTACCCTCCTCTCTCTCACTGTGAAGAGCAGTACAAAATAATTAGGCAGCCAGTTTGCCTTCTTTAAAAAAATTTGTTCGTGGGATGTGGGTGTCACTACTTAGGTCAGCGTTTCAAATTAATTTAGTTTTATGTGCAAGACAAATCCATTTCTCTTGACACTAAGCTATCTTCTCTCTCTTAATATACTTAGAAAAACCTTGGGTACTGCTCACAGTCTGTCTGACAAGTTTTTAGTGTACAGTCATTCAGCATGGACACAGACCCTTCGGTCCAACTGGTTCATGCCGACCATAATCCTAAACTAAAATAGTTCCGTATCCCTGTAAGCCTTTCATAGAGCCCCTACGGTGTGGGAACAGGCTATTTGGCCCAACAAGTCCACACTGACGCTCTGAAGAGCATCCCACCCAGACGCATACCCCTACCCTTTCTCTGTAACCCTGCATTTCCCATGGCTAATACCCCTAACCTACACATCCCTGAACACTCTGGGCTATTTAGCATGGCCAATCCACCTAACCTGCACGTCTTTGGACTGTGGGAGGAAACCCACACAAACACTGGGAGAATGTGCAAACGCCACACAAGCTGTCGCCCGAGGCTGGAATCGAACCCGGGTCCCTGGCACCGTGAGGCAGCAGTGCTAAGCATTGAGCCACCGTGCCACCTGCCTTTTTTTAATGTTCATGAAATTATCTAAATGTCTCTTAAACGTTGTAACTGTACCTGCATCCACCACTTCCTCCTAGATGTTCATTCCACACATGAACCACACTGTGTTTAGAATAAAATTGCCCCCATGTCCTTTTTTTTTTTTAAAAATCTTTCTCCTCTTACCTTAAAAGTATGCCCTCTAGTCTTGAAATCTCCCACCCTTGCAAAAGACACCTGCCAGTCACCTTATCTATACCTCTCATGATTTTATAAACCTCTATAAGGTCACCCCTCAATCTCCTATGCTTCAGTGAAAAAAGTCTTAGCCTTTCCAACCTCGATATAATTCAAACCTTCCGTTTGTAAAGGCTGTGGATGTTGGGAGTTGATGCTTTCAAGGCAAAGATTGGTTTTATTTAAAAAATATTGGCTCAGGGGATCAAGGATTGTGCGGAGCCAAGGTGGATCGATGCAGTTGAGGTACAGATCGACGATCTTCTCGTGAAATTCTGGAAGAAACTGGATAGGCTGAATAGCCTCTTCTTCCTGTTCCTAGATTCCCAAAACTTTCATGCTTTGGCAATTGAGGACATTGTACTGCTGCTTTCTAAACTCCATCTAATTCCCCTGCAGAACCCTGCGCTTTCAAATCATCCTCCCCTTGATTGTATGGACCACCTATGGGAGTTGATGCAAAATGCTAACTTCTCTTTATTCTCCTAGGTTGGGTTAACAGTGGTGCTGGTAGCTATTCTGGTCGCCGTGATCTCAGTTAATCAGTTGTGGAATGAAGAATGGGATATTATTCTCATATCGTTCCAAGTAAGTATTCCTTTCTCTCTCTTCTTTCTGGCCAGCATTGATTATTACTTGTCTGTGAGAAATGGGTATCGTGGGCTGGCTTAGCATTTATTGTCCATCCCTAATTGCTGTTAAGAGTCAACCACGTTTTTGTGAACTGCAGTTCCATGTAGGCTGTGATAACAAGGTGTAGAGCTGGATGAACACAGCAGGCCAAGCAGTATCAGAGGAGCAGGCCAAGCAGTATCAGAGGAGCAAGAAGGCTGACGTTTCGGGCCTAGACCCTTCTTCCCCCATGTAGGCTGTGACCAGGTCAGGATGGCAGATTTCCTTTGCTAAAGGATGTTTGTTGACAGTAGTTACATGGTCGCTATTAGGCTAGCTTTTCATTACAGATCTTTATTGAGGGCAAATTTCAGCATCTGCCATGGAGAGATTTGAACCCATGTACCCCAGAATTTGGTGCCCATCCTAAGTGTCTTAATCTGAGTGACTTGCTTGGCCCACTTCACAAGACAATTCAGAATCATCTATGTTGCTGTGGGTCTGGAGTCATATCTGCTGGACCAGTTAAGGACAGCTGATAACCTTCCCTAATGGGTACTAGTGAACCAATTAGGTTTTGACAACAGTCAATGACATTCATCACTGGCTTTCAGTTCCACATTTTCATGTTTCAGAGATGTTATGACCCACCTTTGGAGCAGGTGAGACTTGAAACAGAGAAAATATGTGCAGGTGTAGGCCATTCGGCCCTTCGAGCCTGCACCACCATTCAATATGATCATGGCTCATCATGCACTTTCAGTATCCCGCTCCCACTTTCTCTCCATACCTCTTGTACCTTTTAGGCGCAAGGCCACATCTAGCTCCCTCTTGAATATATGGGAATCCTCCTGACCACTAGAACACAAGAGCCCTCCAATTCCAGATTTGTTCATTGACTTCAAATTGGACCAGCTGCAGTGGGGATTTGAACCCATAACTCTGGAGCATTAACATGGATTGTTGTCCAGTGACATTTCATTATCATGCCCACCCTCTCTCTGCTGTGCTCTGCTTGTTAATTTTCTACTTCATTTTGCATGTGGTGGAATTACAATGGATGGCCTTCAGAGAATCGGAGAATGATTGAACACAGAAGGAGGCCATTTGTGTTGCTTTGCCTGTGCTAGCTTGTCTCCACAGATGCTGTCAGCTTCCAGTATGTCAGTGTTTTTCTCTGTTTTTTGTTCCCAACCTCCACATAGTTTGCTTTTATTTCAGTTTATCTTCTGTCTTCGAGAGGCCTCGCCAGTCAGCCCGCACTCTCTGCATAGACCTGCAATCTTCCCCATTTCAATTATTTATCCATTTTTCTTCTGAAAAGTTACTGTTGAAACTTTGTCCACCACGCAGCACACTCCAGATCACCATCGACTAAGCAAGAAAGTGAACTGTGAGATTGATGGTTTTTTGTTTTATTTCCACTCCAACAGGCTACGGCACCTTTCCTGCACATTGGCGCAGTTGCTGCTGCTACAATATTGGCCTGGCTCATTGCTGGGCAGTTTGCCCGATCAGAGAAAGTTGGTATGTAGTCGCCTGTTGATCCTTGCATGACTGGGTTCATTATCCTAACACCTAACTTCTCCGTCTGCCTAGATTTTTCTGGAACAGATTTTCTGTCTTGCCATATGTCTTGGGAGTTAGGTTTCTGTCCTAACTTTGTGGTGAGTTTGGCAGTTTGCTTTGCTGGGAGTTGTGAGCTGCTAACCGCTCAGCGAGAGCCACTGGTACTTGAAGCTTCTCTGAATAATGACAACAGCCATCTGTCATCTTTAACAAGGAAATTGCAGGTTTGAGAAAGGAACAGAGGAACAACAGAGTGAGAAATGGGATGAATTAGTTATGTCAGATGCAGAAAGAAAAATGAAGTGAGATAAAGACAGACTAGGTAAACAGAGAGAGCAAATAAAGACAGAATGAAGAAATTGGATATCTTTAACAATCTAACAACTATTTCAAAGCAAGAGAAATGAGACTTCAAAATGTCAACTACTACTTTTCTGGGCCAAGGCAGAAATACAAGTCTCATTTAAAAAGATCCTAATGTTGTTGAGTGTCAGCCTTAACTTTTCATGACATATTTAATGAACACCTGATGTAAACTAAGACTATTTTATGCTGCCATTTCTAGAAGGCTGATGGTGGAGAGGCGCAAGTCATTTGAGGATCAGCAGTTTAAAGGTGTATTGCCATGACTGTACCAGTAAAGTCTTGGCCCATTGTCTTAATCGGCATCTGTTTAGTCTCAAAGACCTTTTCTGTCTTGCCAGTTAATAATTTTCACTCGTTTGCTTTCAGTTTTTCAGATTTTTCTACTCTTTGCATATCTTGGATTCTTAGTAGCACTTTACCTGGTCCCTCTGATCATCTACTCTCCCTGCATCATGAAGAGGGAGGATTTGAGCCGGAGGCCAACGATCATTGGAAACAGGGGTGTGCCGATGGTATGTAACCACCACTAGCGTTGGTGGGCTAAATGGCCTGCTTTGTACATTTCTACAAGGTTCCATGTTACAAAGTGGGAAAGTATCATCTGTCGAGTTGGTGAGACATCTTCAACGCTCCTTGAATAGATTGGTCTGGGCAAGTGTGGGTTGGAGCAAGGCTTTTCCATCAGCTTCCTTGATGAGCGACTTGTAGAATGGGACGTTTAAGCCAATAGGGAGAGACTTCTGGGGCCGGGTGATGCTGGTGCAGGTGGAACCTAGAGGGCGGGTTTAGTATTAGTCAAGCACATTTGGCTCTACACTGTTGGTAGACTTGTGCAGTGGGAATGATCGCTGAATCACATCCCAGCGTGGCTGTAGCAGCAAATACGACGGACAGTTCCTGATTTGCGGATTCTTCCACAGGGTTTCCCATCTGCCTTCCCACCAAATCACAGCAGCAAGTTACTGCGGAGCTGCCTTGTGGGAACTGAGCCAGAGGTTATGGCCTGGAGAGGCGATGGTCTCGTGGCATCATCACTAGAACTATTAATCCAGAGAACCAGGTAATGGTTTGGGAACGCGAGTTTGAATCCCGTCATGGCAGGTGTGGAATTTGAATTCAACAAAAATCTCTAATTCAGAATCTTATGATCATGAATCCATTGTCGATTTGTCAGGAAAATCCCATCGGGTTCACTGATCTCCTTTAGGGAAGGAAACTGCCATCCTTACCCGGTCTGGCCTACATGTGACTCCAGGCCCACAGCAATGTCTTTGTATCTTAATCATCCTCTGGGCAATTCCAGATGGACAGTAAATGCTGGCTAGGCCAGTGATACACACATTCTGTAAATGAATGAAAGAAACAAATTGAGTCTGAAGAGGAGTCTAGGCCCGAAACGTCACCTTTCCTGCTCCTGATGCTGCTTGGCCTGTTGTGTTCATCCAGCTCCACACCTTGTTATCTTGAGTAGGACTATACTGTCTGGAATCTGGAAGAATTAACCATATTGTGAAGTACCTCAGTTTTAAGGGGTTTAACAGTGTTGCATTAGGTAGTTATGACCTTTTGTAAAGGGTTAACTGACATCACAAGCTAAGCTGCACACTTCAGGATATAAAGGACTAATCATTCTTCAGCTCTGCTTCTGGTTCTGGTGTTTGTTACTCTGAGAGTTGTAGTGATGTGAACTTACTCTTAAGTTGTTTCAGAGATAGTAGGAACTGCAGATGCTGGAGAATCTGAGATAACAAGGTGTAGAGCTGGATGAACACAGCAGGCCAAGCAGCATCAGAGGAGCAGGAAGGCTGACGTTTCGGGCCTAGACCCTTCTTCAGAAATCCTGCAAGATATCTTGCAAGAGACATCATAGATCTCAGATGCAATGTGACTAACTATTCAGTAACAAAAACAGAAGTTGTTGGAAAAACTCAGCAGGTCTGGCAGCATCTGTGAAGAAAAAAAATCAAGTTAATCAAGATCCTTCCTCAGAACTGATGGTAGATGGGAAAACATATTTGGTTTATATGCAGAAAATAGGGAGGGGGTGAGGGGTAGGGAGTAAATGATAGGATAGAGCCCAAAGAGAGAGAAGAGCAGTTGGATAGACAAAGGAGTTGATAACGATCTGGCTGGGAGGGTGAGTAGTTGTTAATGGGGACTGTTAGTGACTAACAATAGGTCGTGTGTAATGGCAGGAGATGTGGTAACAAGGTCTGGTGTGTGGGCCTAAACTAAAATTTTAACAGATATTCACCCCATACTGGTTTTGGAGGCAGTCTAGAGAAGGTTTACTGGGCTGACACCAGGTATGGAGGGGCTGTTTTAAGAGGAGAGATTGGGCCTGTACACCTTGGAATATAGAAATGACCTAATTGAAATATTTAAGATTCTTGAGGGACTTGACATGGTTGATGTGGAAAGCTTGTTTCCCTGTTGTGGGAGAGTCTAGGAGCAGAAGGCATCATCTCAGAATGAGGAGGCACACATTTGAGACCGAGATGAGGAGGAATCTCCTTTCTATTGAGGTTGTGCTGTTAAGTATAATCAAGGCTGACACCGACTGATTTTTAATTGCTAAGGGAATTGAGGGTGATGGAGCCAAGACCGGAAAGTGGAGTTGAGGATCATCAGATCGGCCATGATCTCTTTGAATAATGGAGCAGACTTGATGGGCTGAATGGCCTATCTCCGCTTCTATGTCTTTTATGTTCTTTTGCTGCTAATTTGTGTGTTTTAATTCTTTTTACACATGCCCCATTCTGAAGATAAGAATTAGAGACAGAATTAGGCCACTCGGCCTCTTGAGCCTGCTGTACCAGTCAATAAGATTATGTCTGATCTGGTTACACCAAGTTCCCATCTACCCCAGATAGTGTTCTCTTTTGAGAAGTATCGATGGGCTTGTTCGCAATGTGCCCTATTTGTGGGAGCAGGTGTTGAGTACAGTCCAACAGCCTGATTTCTCAACAGTGAAAATTATATTTGTTCGGTTCTTTTGTGTGTGTGTGTGCGTGCGTGCGCGCGCGCTTTGGGGGTGGTTAGTAATTCGTGAATATCCAACCTTTTGTCAGAAGAGAGAAATGAGACTGGATACATCAGAAACTTTATTTGAAGACTATGTGATGAGTCAAAATTAGACGAGCATTGTATTCCACGGCTCTGTCTGAGTGGTAGAGTCGTTATGGTAACAGGGCACCCGAATCACCACCAGGTCATTCATATACATATGTCGTGTTTGGGCTCAAATAATGTGCTTGTAAGTGGCTGATGCTAGCACTGTATTTGTTTCTCATTATTTCTGCATGCCTTTTTCACATTTTGCCTAATTTGAGAGTTTCAGCATTAGCATAAATGTATTTTTCTTAGCTCAGTGAACCACTCTCCTCACTCTTGTCTCTCATTGCTCCTCTCTCCTATCAGACTGTGAGCTGAAGGAGCAGATGTTGGCCACTCAGGCCATGAGGTCCTCCTAGATATTGAACAGCATGCCGGAGATGCTCAGCAGGTCTGGCAGCATCTGTCGAGAGAAATCAGTTAATGTTTCAGGTCCAGTAACCTGTCCTTGGAACTGATGATAATGACGATAATGTTGGTTTTTATGTAGGAGATAGGGTGGGGGGAGGGGGTAGAGAATGAATGATAGGTGAATATAGAGCCCAAAGAGAGAGAGAGAGAGAAACAGTTGGACAGACCATGGAATGGATAATGATTAGCCTTGGAGAATGAATATCTGCTAATGAGGGCTATTAGTGGCTAGCAATGAGTTGTGTGTCATAGTAGATTATGTGATATTAAGGCCTGGTATGTAGTTGGGGTAAATTCGTGAGAGAAGCTCATGCCTGGACCTTATGTTGTGCTTCTTTGGAATGTTGCAGAAGGCCTTGGACGGAAATATTAGCGCGAAAGATCAAGGGGGTTTATTGAAATGGCAAATGGGAGGTTGGTGTCATTACTATGAGCAGAGGTTTCCCCCAAAGCAGCCACCCAGGCTGTGTTTGGTCTTGCCAATGATCTCCTCCTCGATTTTTGACTGGAGTGGACACGAAGGGCCGAATGGGTCCCTTCTGTGCTGCAAATGTCAGAATTTTTAGTTTTGAACCAACTTCACTACACGATCATTTGTGGGATCTTGCTGCTCCAGTCACCTGAGTACTTTAAAAGATGTTGTATTTATCAAGCCAGTGACTTGGAAACCCATAACAGTTTAGACAGGTTATCTGCCAAATTCTTCCATCATTTAATGAATAGATAACAAGACAAGTATGAATGAGACAATTCGAGAGAGAGGTTCTGAGTCACACTCTCTTCTTTGTGGAAACCTACAGCATCGATTTGAAAGGATTAATCATTCATTATTTCAGTTGAATGATAATCCTATCTGATAGGCCAAGGACTCTCCTGTACTGCAGTTCCTCCATTGAGGTTATTTTTTGGAACAGATGTAGCTCAGTTAATAGCACTCTCTCTTGCTTCTGAGCCAGATGGTTGAATGTCCAAGTTTCATACCAGAGACTGAGCATTAAAACATCTGGAAAGAGAAAAACAAGCCATCTCTCTGAGGGAATGCTACACTGTCAGATTCCATCTTATAATGAGACGTGAAACAGAGACCCCTTCTACCCAAAGAAAATATAAAAGTTTGTATACATGCATGAACAGATCCAAGAACAGCTTCTTCCCTGCTGTTATCAGACTTTTGAACGGACCTCTTTAATGTTAATGTTGATCTCTCTCTGCACCTTCCTGGCAGCTGTAACATTATATCTTGCACTCTGCTCTGTTACCCTGATGCACTAGTATAGTACGATCTGTCTGTAAAACACATAAGACAATACTTTTCACTGTACCTGGGTACACATGACAGTATTGAAACAAATCATATCAAATCTTGAAGCTTAAGGGACAGTTGCTTAATTGTGATCACATTTAATAATTCTATGGTTACCAAATTTGTCGTGTTTCTGATATGTTTAAGTATATTTTAAATTCAAGGTTATTTTGTTGACAAATGCAAGAATTTGGGCAAGTGTACAATTTCAACCTAACAATATTTTAATTTTTTTTCCGCTGGGAAAGGTTCTGAAGTACCTAACTGTCAAGTGTTTATTTTATATTTATTTTGTTTTTCAAGATTTTCATCTGGGAACTCCAAAGTACTGTACGCATAGAGTATAGTTTATCAACTTGTGCATTGTTTCTACTGAGCAAAATATTGTCCATAGGAGCCTAACCTAACTCTGATTTTTAACATGGATTCCTATGGGAAACCGTGATTCAATTAAAGTCCCTCCACTTAATGCCCTAATTTTCGACATTAAGTGAGGACTCAGTGTACAGACCAAGCATTTTGTTAAAAATGAGAGACATGTTGTTAAGCTTTTGTCTTGTACTCAGCAGTCACCTTAAAAACTTTAGTTTGTAACTGAACTTTCATGCATTTTACATGGCAATATTTCCAGCAATCCAGGTTCACTTGCCTGGTCATTGCCTGATTTTTCACAAAGGAATAATT